TTTTTTGGCTGTTTTTTTGGGAATCCCGGTCAGTCGTCGGTGGGTACCGTGCCCAACGCGGCGCGTTAACGGCCGTGTCGGCTTTTTCAAGCTGGGCGAGGTACTGGTGGTTTAAGCAGCATCGTCCGCGAGGGGGAGGTCCATGACCCTCTGCGTGCCGGATTCGTTACTTTGGTTCTCCTTCAGTGTGACATTGGTGCATCTCTGCTTTCGGGACAGCTCACGACTATCTGGCTTTCGATGTGATATTGCAATTTGGATGTCTGTCATTTTGCTCTTGCTCATTTTCCTTGCACTGTATGTGTGTGCGAGTGCGTGTGTGTGTGTGTGTGTGTGTGTGTGTGTGTGAGAGAGAGAGAGAGAGAGAGAGAGAGAGAGAGAGAGAGAGCTGTAGATAACAACTAACTATTTTTGTTCTGTTTGAAAACAGAGACAATTTCCAAGAATGCTCGCCGGCCAACGACACGATCACAAGATCTACTCCATCTTGAGAATGCAGGGCCAGCAATACCTGCGTCAGCCGCCAGCATCATCGCCGACACCGCTAAGAGTGTGAGTGGTCAGAAATCGGCCAAGTCATCCGAACCGTCGAGGCGAGATCCAAAGGAGGAACCGAAAAATCCACCCAACTTGAAGCCACTCATTTCTACCTTGTCCCCCCCCACCACTTCCACCATCTCCAATGCTGCCTGCTCTATCTCCTCCTCCTCCTCCTCCCCCTCCTCCTCCTCCTCCACCTCCTCCTCCTCCTCATCATCATCATCATCGTCGTCACCTTCTCGTTCCTCTCCAAACATTTCCGCATTCCCATCATCGTCTGTGTCAACATCATTATCACCCTCATCGTGTTCGCTATTTCCATCGCCCAACTCGGCAGCAACAAGGGGCAAATGTATGGGGGATGTGACCAAGACCCCAACCAAGTCGTCGCCATCCCAACCGCGGGCGGATGCAAACAAAGGGCAGAAAGCAGCTAGTGCTCCAACGGAACGCTCATCGAGTGCAGTGCCGGCGACGCTGAAAAAGGGAAACTTGGGAAAGGGCAGTGGGTCCAAACCCCTTAAACGTGGCTTTTTCGATTCGCCGTTGAGCAAGCGGAAGGATAAAGCAGAGAGCATACCCTTCATCAAAGCGCAATCAGGAGGGAAACATAGCAGCATTCCTGGTAAGAAACCGGTTAAAAAAAAAAGGAAAAAAAGGGGGGAAAAAAGGGAGGGAGGAGGAGGGGGGGGAGGGAAAAACAGGCAAAAAAAAGAACAAAAGAAAAGAAGGAAAAGGAAACCAGCCCCCCCCCCCCAACTAGGGGAGGTGATAAGAGCAGCCCTTCCCCTAGTAGAAGGCCTGGTTGCTCCCGCGTCGTTTCCCCAAATAAAAATCAATGTCTTGTCATTAAAACCACCAGTACTTGGCTCAGCTATCAACTCCGAGCCGCGGCCGACCGGTATGCCGAGCCGTGCTGAGGCTGGAGCTACCGGTAGGACGCTGCCCCGACTTAGATTTTGAACTTTGAAGAAACACAAAAAAAAAAAAAAGTGAAAAAGAAACATGCTAACCGCGGACCCGGACACTGGATACTCCCGGACTGTCTTCCGGACCAGTGTCTGGACCGGTCCGGGCCGTTCGGTGATCCGGACATCACCAGACCCGGACGGTCCGGACCGGTGTCAGGGGGTGGAAAATGTCCGGACAAATAAAAAATAAGGGAGAGGAGGCGGGGGGGGAGCTGTTATAGGCACTTACCTGCTTTCCACTTTGTACTTCAGGCAGCAGAGCACCTGTCTTGCCGGCTTGCAGCAAATCAACCAGCAGTGCATTTAACTCGAAAGGAACAGAGAAAAATAAAAAATAAAAAATGCCGACATGCAGAGTTGCAAACAGTGCAAAGCAGGCACAACTCTAAAGGAACAGAGAAAAATAAAAATAAAAAATGAAAAAAGTTTAAAATTTAAAAATTAAAAATTCAAACTCTGCAGTTCAATTCAGAACATGTCACAGTCTTCGGACTGGCAGCACTGTCAGCTCTCTCTCTCTCTCTCTCTCTCTCTCTCTCTCTCTCTCTCTCTCTCTCTCTCTCTCTCTCTCTCTCTCT